TTACAGTTGTGGATTTTTTTTTTAGAATGCTTTCCTTCTTGGTGGCAAGAGTGATCAAACTCAGGACCTTGTACTTGGCAGGCTATCGCTATACCACTGAGCTATCAAGATCACCAACTATACTCCTGTCTTCTAGGTCTGATATTCTATCTTCATTTTGTTTCATACAGTTTTATAAACTTTCAATGAAATTATAATTTTCTGGATATTCATTTCTTTCCTTTGTTAGACATTCATGGTCTACATTATGTTCTATGCTCCTTTATTTGTTTGAACTATGTGTACTCCAGATATGTTAAGTCTAAAGTTATGGTCTGTAACACAATATGCCCTTTTATTATGGTCATCATCTTTTTTTACTACCTATGAGATTATTTCTGTTTTGAATAATTATATATATATAATTTTTTTCCTTATACCTTTTAAAACCAATTTTGGGCCAGGGAGATAGCTTGGCAGTGTAAGTGAATGCCTGGCAAGCACAAGGACTCAAGTTCTATCCCTGGTACCATATGTCATGCAGGACTCACTCTGAGCCAGCCATTGAGATTGAGTGTGGTGGTGAAAACCTATAATCCCAGCGCTGGGGAGGCTGTGACAGGAGAACCAATATTGGTCCTAGCTGTATAGCAAGACATTGTAACAAATAAATAAGTGAGTAAATAAATAATAAAATATTTTATGAAAAACCAATTTTGCATGTTTACATCTGGTAATCTAAAAAAAGTAATTTCAAAATAACATTATGTACAGCTTAGGCAGAGCATAGTGTCCAGGGTTCGATCCCTAGTGTGCTGTGTCGGCTCTGCCCTCAGGGCACTCTGAGACAGAGATTGAGACTGTGCATGGGGTGCACACCTATAATCCCAGTACTGGGGAGGCTGAAAATGGGAGAATCACTATGAGTCCAATCTGCATAGTAAGACTTTGTAGACCCTGTACTAAATACATAAAAGTAAAAAAAAATAGATAACTTTATGTAATGCAGCAACCATTGGCAAATTCTTATTTTTAAAAAGAGTACAAATTAGAATTAAAACAGAAAATATTATAAATGATTCAGAATTTTACATTATAAGGTAATATGAATTTCACGGTATTTGTTGTAATACATATTATTGTCTTTCAACCAGTTATTCTTATTACAAGATATATGTATTAATAAAATTGAAAATAAATTGAAAAAATTAAAGGAAAAAGGACAAGGAAAGTATTAAGGTTTCTTGAAAGGATGAGTTAATATTTAATTGTTTGATCAATCTTGAATGCTGATATCAGGTAATATGAGCAACAAATTTGATGATCATAATACATAATATATAAGCCATTGTTAATTTTCTATTTTTGCTTTGAAATTTAGTACCATTTTTATTGTTCTACATTTCTTTGTTCTTATTATTTATTTTCCTCTTTAAATTTACAAAAAAACCAGTGCTGTTTAGAATGGGCATATACAATTTAATCTGTGAATTTAAGAAATGAATATATTTGAAAGCAAAGAAATGAGAGAAAAGGTAGAAGTGTTATTTTTGTAACATATAGACACCAAATAATACATTAAGCCTCCAACGATTATTCAAGAGAGGCAGAGAGAGATAGTTCTTTGGACTGGCTCCTTATACAAATTAATCTTTCCCTAGGGTGATGTGTAACTCTGCTTTCAAATAAATAAACAAAGAAAAAGGTCTTTTTCCTATAAAGAAAATGAATCTATCTCCTTCTATTACTTCAGGAGATGACATGAAATTGACTGAAAAATTTCCATTCTGCTGTCTCTCTTTATCCCAAAGGAGATGACTTGTTTAGAGATTATAAAGACAACAAAATGCCTTTTTAATTAGGACTTCTGAGAATTCAAAACTTGAGATGTTATAACCCTTGATGCTGCTCACCTGAGATCCCCAAGTTTGGCTGACATGAAAACCCAAAAGGGCTTTGTAAAAAGTGTTCGTGGAGAAGAGAAAGCTTCAAGGATAGCCTTCAAACGAAGTCAGCCTGTCCCTTGGATACTTCTGGAATGAAAGAAATCAAGGGCAGAATGTGGGTCTATTTTATGCCTCTAGAATAATGATACTTGGAAAGCCACGTGTTCATGTAGTCTGTGAACCTGAGTCCCTGCACACTGATGTGATTGTAGCTCTCTGAGCTCAGACATTTTCATTCTTATTTTATTTCTTTCTTATATTTTTATATTTGGGAGTACTCCCCAGTAAGAGTTGTTGCCTGTAGTCTCAAGGCTTTGTTTTCTCTACAAATTTTGGGGTGCTGTCAGATTTCCTGCATCCAATTATTTGTGACTACAAACTGGTGATGCATTATGTACTGAGTGTTTTCTGTTTTATTCTTCCTAGAGGGTACTGTTCTGTTCTAGCCCTTGACAGGCTTTGCTGGCATATTTGATAGGCTGATGGACTTTGATAGGTACCTTTTTTTACTGTTTTACCTTAGTGACTACAAAAAACTACTAGTAATGTAGTTGTTTCTAAGGCTCAGTGCTAAGAATTACTTTTTTTCATACTATATATAATCCCTTAAAATGTTCAGGAAAATAGCAAATGAATTTGGCAGACTATCACAACATATTCAAAAATGTAACTCAAGGCCTGTGGCATCTTAATGTGAATTTTCTCTTGGATTTGGCTTGAAAGTAACTATTCTCTTTTGGTGCAGAAAATTTTCTTTGTGTTCTATATTTCTTGACAGGCTCATCTTTGACTGATAACACAGTGATGGCTGCTAGATATCCTCAAATGCATACTGCTGTCATGCTTAGTACTTATACTCATTAATCTATTTCTATGATGAGTTATGTTAGCCAGCACCTTTATATTAAGCATACTTTTATTCTTTGAATTGCTATTGTTCATGTTACTATTTTTAAAAATTTATTTATTTATTTATTTATTTATTTGGCACAGGGTCTCACTGTGCAGCTCAGACTCCTAGTGATCCTCCTGTCTCAGCCTCCTCAGTGCTGAAATTATAGGTGTGCACCACCACACCCGTTTTGGTGGCTGGCATGGTGAGCCTGGGGTTCTGGGGCTGGCACGGCATGTGGTACCAGGGATTTGACACAGGTCCTTGTGCTTGCCAGGCAGGGTCTTAGACCACAGATCTATCTCCCAAGCCCTGTTCATGTTATTCTCTTAAAAGAAATATATGTGCATTTTACTTTACTATTCAAATTTGTGTCTATTTTCAGAAATATATATATATATATATATACATATATATATATTTGTGTTTCTAAAGCCTATATATATCCATATATATCCATATATATTCACATATATATGCTTTCAAAAATTATATCACATATCCATGTTTTTCAGCATACATAATGTGACTCATATCATGTAAACTGTGTAAGGACAAGTAGTGAGACAAACTCACAATCTCAGAGCTACAAACGAGTTTATCAATGTGATAGAGACACTGAAAAGAAGAAGCAAAGTCTATCATGGGCCTCATGCACTCTGTCTGTTCTGAACCTTGTCCTCTCCTCTGTGTCACTAATCTCTCAAATCTCCTCCTATGCCAAGCTCTCAGTGGATTAGGTAGCTGCACTTCTGCTCCGTCATCATATCATATATCTTCTTTCCTTAATTCCCTTATTAACAGTGACTCATCCTTCTTTCAGTTACAAAATATCCCTTTCACAAAAGCCTCTTCTATGTACTTTCCCACAATAAATTGGTCCTCAATAATGTTGTGTCTGTCTTTAAGTAGTTACAAACCCCAAGGCCATAAGGCTGACTTGTTTTCTGACTTGGAGAGTATAAATGTTTTTCCCAAAACTTGCATTTATCTTTTAAGATTTTAATTGGCTGAATTTCTAGAAACCTTGCATAATTTCAGGAAATACAACAAACATGTATAGGAAAATTTGCTGCTAATTTTAATGTCCACCCAGGAGCATGGTGATATGGCTAAACATAAATCTCATATATAATTTCAATAATACTAGTTTTGATTCCCCCTTCATTCTTCATAGTCCACATTTCTTTGCCTCAGTTCTGAGAACTCACATGGAAGACATTCTCTGAACGAAGGATCCACAAGGATCATCACAATCAGAAGTGCTCAAGTGCTCAGAAGAGTTGCCAGACCTGTTTTATGTTATAGATAATGATAGCACCCAAGGTTAAGGCCCTAGTTTAGGGAGACCTTACTGAAAGTTATACACGCAAGACTAATTTGCTATTATGCCAGTAATTTCACATTTGTATAACGGTCATTGTATGTCATGGGAACTATAGAAGAAAAATTATATTATCATGTCATTTAATTTCTTTATCTTACCATATAATGAGAATTTAAGATTCCCACTAGAAAGGCAAAGTATTTGTAGTTAAGAGAGTTTACATAACTTTCTCTGAGTTATGAAGATGATAAGTTGAATGAGGGAATTATTTCCCCTGAGCTAACGATCCAGTGTTTCCTAGGAGAGAATATATCTGAAACAGTTACTATAAACAAAAAGAATAATAATGGTAATAAACAATATCACTCATTATACTCTTATTATAAAAAATATTTTAATCCTGAAAGAAGTATTAATTATACTAATAATAGTTTTAGGAGAATTGATCTATTTTGTGTTTGTATCCTACAGTCCTCTCAGTAGGGATTGGCAAGTAATAGAATAAAGATTCTTTGAATTATATATTCTGCTAGAAAATATGGAAAACATATAGGAAATGTCTTCAAATGTATATTCTGGAAGTGTCATAACAAAGGAGACTATCAGCATTCACAAATTCAGAAGACAAATTGAGTAAATATAAAACAAGAAATATTTCTACTAAATAAAAAAATCTTGAAAAATTACAAATGCACGAAAATCAAATGAGCTCCCCCTTGCTATATGAATAATGGTGTGGAGAAGAAGTCACGGGGTGTGAGGGATATTAACCCATCGTGATAATGTCTGGCGACAGCTACACAAGTTGTAGATTTTTTTCAACATATTTTGTCTCCTAGAGAGCAAAACAATTGCCATGAAAACAGAAAACCACACAGGAGCACCACAGTTCTTCCTTTTGGGCCTCTCAGAAGATCCTGAACTGCGACCTCTTCTCTTTGGACTGTTCTTGACCATGTACCTGGTCGCGGTGCTCGGGAACCTGCTCATCATCCTGGCCGTCGGTTCTGACTCCCACCTCCACACTCCCATGTACTTCTTCCTCTCCAACCTTTCTTTTGTGGACATCTGTTATGTCTCTTCCTCAGTCCCCAAGATGCTAGTGAACATCCAGGCACAGAGCAAAGCCATCTCCTACATGGAGTGCCTCACACAGGTGTACTTTTTAATGCTTTTTTGTGCGATGGATGATGTTCTCCTCACTGTGATGGCCTATGACCACTACATGGCCATCTGTCATCCCCTGAACTACACAGTCATTATGAGCCCTCGACATTGTAGTCTCCTGGTTCTGGTGTCTTGGTTTATTATTGTCTGTTTTGCCCTGGTTCATATCCTACTGATCAAGCCACTGACTTTCCACATAGGCACCACAATCCCTCATTTCTTCTGTGAATTAGCTCAGGTTCTTAAGGTGGCCAGTAGTGATACCTCTATCAATAACATCGTCTTACTTGTAGCAGCAGCCCTGCTCTGTGTGTTTCCTGTGATTGGGATCCTCTTCTCTTATGCTAGGATTGTCTCCTCCTTAATGAGAATGACCTCCTCAACAAGCAGGCAAAAAGCATTTTCCACCTGTGGGTCCCATCTCTGCGTGGTTTCTTTGTTCTATGGAACAGCACTTGGGGTGTACCTCAGTTCTTCTGTGACCCACTCTGCCCAGGCAAACATGATATCCTCTGTGATGTACACTGTGGTGACCCCCATGATGAACCCCTTCATCTACAGCCTGAGGAACAAAGATGTGAAGGGAGCCCTGGGCAGGCTCCTCAGTAGAGCAGTCTCTTGCCTTTCATGGAGCACTGATCTGAAAAGTAAATGAACATTATGGTTCCTTAGGCAAATGCTGTGAACTTCAATATCCTGGTTCCTTTTTTCCTCAAAGATATGTTCCTTCATTTGTTCTATTTCTAAATCTCTTAAAACATTCTTGTATGTGCTTTTCGTTAGTCACTTTCTTAGTGATTTTTATTATTCTACTCTAGAGATGGTTCTTAATTTTCCAAGAGCTGTCTCTTTTTACTTGCCTTTGTGAGTATGAATGACACAATTTCTGACTGTGAGAGTTTGTTGCCATTTGTCACTCCTTGTGTCACCAGGTCTGTATGATCCTTACTTTTGTGGCCCAGTGCTGGTATCATTTTCAGTCTTTTGAATTTGCACAACTTGGGTGTCTCACAACTGACATGCTTCAGAATGTGGAAACTGACACTTTCTTCTCTGATGCTTCTGAACTACTTAATGTTGTCTTCTCTGACAACTTTATCAAATGTTATCACATATTTTATTGTTGTTATCTTCTACTCTCAGGGATTTTTTACTCTTACCATAAAATTATTTCCTCCATTTTGTGAAATGTACCATTAGGCAGGAAGGACAGATACTGCTCCACCTGCAGGTCTCACTGATCAGTTATTTACTTAATTTTTGGAACAGGACTTGACTATACATTGTTTCAGGTGGGTCACATTCGCCCAGAGGTGGTACACTGGCCTCAGTGACACACAGTGTAATCAATACTATGATGAATTTCTAGAGTGGCAATTTGAGGGACAAGGACATTAATAATGACTTGAAGCGTTTCCACAGCACAAACATGGAATCTCAGGATGTTTGGTGGCCATTTGGAACATGAGTTGGAAAACTGAGTCAAGCTAAACAAGTAGTAGTATAAATGAGGTTTTGCTGGTCACAGAATGTTTGCAGTCTGTGGACTTTAGCTCTTCATCATATTTCATAGTGCAGTGCAGGTATTCAAGATTGGAAGGGTGGACAAATTGGAAAAGTTTTAAATGGGTACAATCCATCAATTGGGGGGGAGAAAAGACTTACATGAATGCTTATCATCTGTGGATGGAAAACAATGTAATTTAATAAATGCCACTGGACCATGAACATCAAAATGATGAAAATATTGATTTTGTATATGTTTCTTCACAATAAACATTTGAAAGCAATACAAAAGGATCTTTCAAAAAATAAACCTGACAGTAATACTAGCATTGTGTCCCTCTGTCTTATGCAGCAGCTACACGAAGTGCGCATGAAAGCAGAGGTGGAAGCTCTGAAAGGAGGTTGGGGTGGGAGTGAGAGTAGAAGAAGAATGTGTGCAGGAAAATGTCACACTGGATCACTGAGATGTACATAATTAACAAGCACTCATGAAATAGATGAGAAAGAAGTGCAAATTACTCAGAATTTATGCTGCTTAGAATGACAAAACCCTTTTCAGGTGATATTTATATCCATTACTTCTTCCTCAACTAATGTGTGTGTGTACGTGCATGCGTGTGCGCGCGCGCGTGTGTGTGTGGTGTGCGTGTTCAGGGTCTTACTATGTAACTCAGACTGATAGTGATCCTCCTGTTTTCAGTCTCCCCAGTGCTGGGGTTACAGGCGTGCACCAGCATGCCTGAACTCGCTCACCAGCTCAGCATGCCTGGGGGTGGGGCAGCATGTGGTGCCAAGGATGAGCCTTGGTCCCTGCACTTACCTAAGCAGGTGCTTAGTCCACTGTGCATATCTCCCGGCCCTTTCTCAACTAATTTTAAGAAGTCCTTAGAGATCTTGAGAACATAAAAAAAAAACTCAGTTACTTATGAGTTCTGTATCTGGAAGCTCCAAGGTTCTGTAACTAATAGTGAACAATGAGCCTGTGCACCCAGGCTTTCATGCTGAGTTTTACAGTCTGTTGAGCTGCCTGCCTGTACCTCCTCCATAGCTGTTTGCAATAGGCAGCTTCTATTCAATACTGTATTCATAGAAATGCTGAGGACAGAGACCAAGCTTTAATTACAGAGATGGCAGAAAATGTGTGTTTAAGTCTCACCCTTGGCCAGAACCTGTCAGAGATCCAGCATTTTGTGGGCTTATGGCTCTCAGTAACATTTTGAGTATCCCATTCTCATATGGGCAGTGTAAAGACTTCTTTACCTGTGGTTTACCATTGGTTGCTTGCTTATTTTCTGGAGGATATATTGGCTCATTTGTTCCATATTCTCCCCCAAATAGTGCATGCCCTCAGTGGTGTACCCTGGTAGAATCTGCATGGTGAATCTTGTCCTCTACAGCCCTTACAATGCAGACACAAAGAATGCCCTGAGAATGGTCTTCAGTAGAATGGTTTAATTTGAAGGCCTGTGACAACCATTTGCAATATGAATGGAAGAAGTGGCAAGGGCAAACATGTAGTTGGGTCAATGATGTCTCATTATCCGCATTATTTCTGTAATGTGATGACTGTAATCTTGTGTTTTTTACCACCAGAATAGAGCAACAATTTTTAGAGCAAGTGAGCATGAAAATATTTTTCAGCTGTTCAAACATTCATTTTGGGAGACTGGGAAGTTTATGGTGAATAGGTAGCATTGATAAGTGTATGTAGAAATGAAATGTTCTTTATAACATTAAACTATGCATTTTTTCATGATTAATGTGGTATTTTGCTGTGTATTTTATCAGAATAAATGATGAAAGTAAATTACAGATGACTCTTTGAACACGCATTCTAGACACAGAGGGACTAGTATTATATGCTCTGCCTCATAGAAAAATGTTTCTGGATATGAGAAATGCAGACTCTATGCATGGAGTCATAGAGTCACTCAGAATACTGTTACTATATACAATTAGTGTGTCTTAATATAGTCAATAAATACATAATATTACACAGAAGAGTCCTGCTGAACAAGAGTCCATACATTTTAGGGGGCATATATCTCCTCTTCTTCCTGCACTATTATCCAGGAGTGCTTAGTGATTTGGAGGACATCACCTATTTACCTAATTATGAGCTCTGTGCCTTGAGCCTCTAAAGTCATATAGCAGTCAGCAATCCTGCTGTTCTTCCAGCCCTGCAGTTAGCTGGAGTTAATAGAGAGAGGATCACCAGAAAAGTTAAATCCTCACCCCGCGTACAAATATGACAGTTTGGATTGCCAGACGGGAGGATTCCAATAGTGAATTTTTCAATTGTCAGAGCTGTTTATATTCTAGGTTGTGGTGGAACAGAAATTTTATTCAGTCTTAGCTTCCTACTTACAGTGGTCTACTTTCAACAGATCTAAACTGTTTCTGAAGCACTACCCAGGGATCGGGAAGGTGTGACACACAGGCAAGGACGAGGGCAGTAATCACTATATCATGAAGTGTAACTGAGGGAGTCCTAAAGTTCACGTGTTGAGCTTTGTGTTTAAAATTTCTTGTATCATCTGATGTTAATGTGCTTTCTGGAGCTGCAAGTGCCCATGTTATTTTAGGAAAAACTGAAAGACTAATTTCCTGTGCAATTTTTCACACAGCTTTTTGTTAAAAATAATTAAATATGTGTTCTAGTTGGTCTTTCAGGTGACAGACAGAGGTCATGGTTTGGGGAAAATTTTGGCACATTGCCACCACGAAGACGCAATCAGCCATTTCAATTTCTGTCATTATAAGAAGAGACTCCCCTTTGCTCATTGTCCAAGATTTCTGGTAGACCACAAAGCAATTCGTAGAGCATACTGGAAAGTTCCAAATTTACCGTATACGTCCCTGTAGTTAAGCCTTGTGGAACTTTCCTTAACTCTTTCTGGTTATTGAAAAATAATGAATAAAGTCAGCAAGTTAATTCTAGCTAGATATGGTTTATTCAATTTTGAACACTATTACTATTATTACAATTATTAGTTTACTTGGCATGTTATTGATATTTCCAAGACTCAGCATTGCCTGCTGAATTCAGTTCTCATTGATAACTACTTTAAGGTAGTAATGAACATATGATAAATTTTCTTTGTGTGATTAAGATATAATAAATGAATAAAATAAGAACAAAATAAATTTAATAATTGCTATTACTAATAATAATGACCAGGTTGTGTTTTCTACAATCCAAGCAAAATATCCTATTACCTAATGTTACCATTTTTCTATTTTTGTGTCAGGGCATTTAATATTAGTACAATATGTATATATAGTTGGAGAAAATTAAAAAGTTTATTTTATCTCCAAATCTCTGAAGACTGTACATTACTTAGAATAGAGGATTTATCAAAAATGAAAAGGATAAAAGAACTTTTGGAGATGGGTAAAGGAATCAAAGTGCAAAGGAACCATACAGATAGAATGCAAAGGAATTTAAAAAGTGATTAATTATTGCCTTATATATAAAAAACTTCCTAAAATTAATGTAAGTATTATGTATTGTAAACATTCTAATGAAAAAAGACTGGTCCATATCCAGTGGTTGAGTATTTGCCTTGCATGTGGTAGGTACAGAAAATAAAGTCTCTGTTAAACACTGAGTAAACCTTCCTTTGCTTTACAAAAATTGGATCAATGGGGGCTGGGGAGATGGCTCAGTGGAATAAGCGCTTCTCTGGCAAGTGCAAGGACCTGAGTTCAATGCCCGGTTCTGAAAAAAAAATTGGATCAATATACTAAATATAATTGTGTCTGCACTTCTCAGGAATGCCTAACTAAAGTAACAAGAAAAAGAGCTGTTATTTGAGTCTAAGTTATATACAATGGGTAATATAATGAAATAAACATTATTAGCACATATTTGGTACCTAATGAACATATTCCTCAGGGGGAATTTGGGGCAGATCCACATCACATCTTAGTCTTTTTTATATCCCCTTGCCCTGTTTTCCTCCTTTCCTAGATGCCCTTCTCATTTGCAAAGAGTCCACTTCCCCCTTTCCTGTTTCCTATTTAGCTAGTTCTTTATTTATGCTTTTGATTTTTCATGTAGGAGAAATGCTGTAATATCAAATTTATGGGTCTGATTTGCTTTGTCTTATAATCTCTGTGTGCATCCATTTTCCTACCAATTAAGTA